AGGGCTGGGGCCAGAGAATCCCGCTTGGGTTGGCGCAGGGGCCAGGCTCTTGCACCACCAGCCCCTCCCCCTCCTCCCCTCGCCTGTTCCAAAGGGAGCCCGTCCTGCCGACAGAACGAGGCCCTTCCACGCTAGACCAGAGCATTCCCCCACGGCGACGGCGACGCCCTCCCAGTGGCCTCGCGGTTAACACGGCGGCGCTCGCCCGCTCGCCCTCCTTCTTCGCCCGCAGATCAAGGCGGGCCACTTCGACGAGCGCTACGTGCTCTCCTCGCGGGTCCGGACCGGGCGCAGCATCCGAGGCCTCAGCCTGCCCCCCGCTTGCTCTCGGGCCGAGCGTCGGGAGGTGGAGAAGGTCACCGCAGAAGCCCTGAGCGGCCTGACCGGGGACCTGGCCGGCAAGTACTACCGCCTCAGCGAAATGACCGAGAAGGAGCAGCAGCAGCTCATCGACGTGAGTGTCCCGGCGGGCAGGGAGAAGGGCCGAGCCGTGCCGACTTGCCCGGCAGAAGCGCGGAGGATCCAGCACCTGTGCCAGGCTGGAGGGGCGGCCAGATGGACGGCGGGCGGAGGAAGGCGGCGGGGGAGCAGCCCATCTCGGGAGCAGGACGGCGCGCCCGCTCCGCCTCGCTGGGGGTTGGCGCTGGGCTGGCCCGTGGCTGCCCTCCTGGCCTCGCTCCGCTCACTAGCGGTCTTCTGCAAGACCCTCGCCCAGCGCAGGGTCAAGGTTACGGTCATCCCTCCCTGACGCTCCCTCCCTCCCTCCTCTCGGTTTCAGGACCACTTTCTCTTCGACAAGCCGGTCTCCCCGCTGCTGACGGCCGCAGGCATGGCCCGGGACTGGCCGGACGCCCGAGGGATCTGGTAGGGCGTTGAGGGAGGAACGGGAGGGCGCAGGCGGCTCTCGCCCAGGCGGGGAGCCCGGGACACTCCGCAAGCGGGCAGCCGCATCCCGATCGCAGGACAGGCGCGGAGAGGCTGGACTCCCCGACCCGCCGCCACATAGGCAGGCAGGCAGGCAGGCTCCCCCGGGGGGGGGGCAGGAGAGGGCAGGTTGTGGGGAGCTCCCTCTCAAGGGGGCAGCGGAGGAAGGGAGGGAGCGGGCGGAGGGGCCTTTGGGACAGTCCTGGAGCCGGGCAAATGCCCCCAGCCGGTCAGGGCCTTAATCGCTCGCTCCTCCCCGCCGCCCCCCCGCAGGCACAACCACGAGAAGACCTTCCTCCTCTGGATCAACGAGGAGGACCATACCCGCGTCATCTCCATGGAGAAGGGGGGCAACATGAAGCGA